AGTTGGGCCTCCAACTCGTCGAGTCCCAGAGAAAAACACAAGAAATGCTTGAATTAACTGTGTACCAGGAAGCGGGTGTTACAGATCAAACAATATGTTTCTATATATAGTCTTTAGAAATCGAGTAGGATTCTTAGGATGTTGCTTGTAGATTAAGTAACTTAACATAGTCCTATATATTGATCTAGATATTGAGTTGTATGGTATATGATAAAGATAAAGAGAGATAAAGAGAAAGAGAAATTCAGGGAACAATTATAACAGACTCCGAGTAATTTTCTTTGTTATAATAAGAGTTATTCTTGTATTCTTTTGTGTTCATATTTTTCATATTTGCCAATTACTTTCAACATCTTTTAATGTTTTTTTGTTGTAGCAATAATTCATATTATACTCGAAAATAAGTATTTTTTTTTTGTTCCTATACCACATGAAAATCTACATTCACGGATCCAGATAGCCATAAATATTGATTTTCGATATATAGTCGTAACTTTATGTGATTACAACAATGATACAATAATATTATTGCAACCGTAAGCCTATAAGCAAATGATGAATGATAGATAATATGAAATAAACATAAGTAATTCAAAAGTCGATATACATACTGACATACATTAAACACACATGTTACACATTTTATTTATTAATGCATTCGTACATTTCACTTTATTTTTCCCTCAAAACATCAAGCTCTTAAAGAGTAACAGAGCCATAAATTTTACATAAGAGGGATAGGGGGCACCGGCGAACCTACCCAATTCTAGGAGTTCGAAGAACGACGCCACTAGAGTTCACCCACACCCTCACACGATCGCACCGGAAATCCCCAGTCGTCGGAGTTCCGTCCAGTATCACCATCGCGTCGACACGTGGATTCTCTCTTTCAATCGTCGCCGCTGCAGCTCCTCCGTTCGCTCCAACCAGCTCCGGCCATGAACTCTTTCCTGTATCCGGTATCCAATATCCAAACAGTGTTTAGTTCATCTTCAGTTTTCACACCCATTCATTATATAAAATTTGATCGAATCATATGAAATCAAAATATAAATAAAATTAAAATAGAATCCATTCACCTTGGCAGTCCGACATTGTTAGATGAGCAGTGAAGACATCGAATTCGAATGTGAGGTATAAATAGAGGTAAAGGCTTTGGAGAAGTGCTGGCGTAGAAATCGTACCTTGTGCAGTATGAGTTGTACCCTTTTGTTTTTCAACATTTCCCATTTGAGTAGGCAAAATTCAAAATTGTTACTTTTCTTGAATTGTTGAAATTTGAAAACCATGACGAAACAGCCATTTTTGCTGACTTTCAAAATTGGGAAATTCCGGTAATCTCTATATGTTTTTTTTTTTTTTTATTGAACAGCTAATCCCTATCTGATTAAGTTGCAATGAATAATTCAATCATAATTTTACAATTATTGTAAATTTGTAATAAATCTGAAGCTGTTTGTTTGAGCATATATAAAAGACATGGGAAAAAAAAACAACACTTCAGTCAATAAGACTTTAAGATTCTCGATAAAAAAAACAACACTTCATTTATTTGTGTAATACAGCTTCCTATTTTCATTTCTTTCTATTGCAATTCAATGTACTTTCTATGATTTGTCAATGATAACATCTATTACAACAGAGAAACTACCAAATTATAGCAACATCATCCGAATTCAAATAAAATTTCATTGCTATTATAAGAAAGCAATTAAAAGTACAATTCTATAATTTGGTAGATTTCTCAAAGTACAATGCCTCAATAAGGAAGAAAAAAATGGAAGTACAATTTTGTAGAAAGAAATGTAAGTACGATGTTGTAATAAACCAATCAGTTAAAATATGTTGTTATTTATTCATTTAAGTGTTGGAATCCTAAGTCATGTAGGACTTGGAGTCAAAATAAACTTGGAGCTTAAGCAAGTTGGTTTAAGTTTCCTAATCTTATTCTACAAGTTGGTAGTTTATGAATATTTATATGTATAGATACAGAGGCATGGAACTATGCAGAAAACAATATTGAGTTTTTAGAGTTATATTTTCTCAATAAAATTGGAGAGTTATTCCATATTATTTGTTTTTTAATCTTGAATTGGTATCAGAGCTTGAGTTAAGAAGCTGTGAGATCAAGTTGTTTACCTATTGACGAGCTGGGTCAATATGTCAGACGTAGAAGATGGTGCAGGGCCTCCTCCGGTGAGAGTGAAGGAGGTTGGGACAACCACAGTCGCATGTTCGATGCTTACTTCCACCAACTATACCGTCTGGGCACTAAGGATGAAAGTAGTGCTCAGAATTCACAAAGCTTAGACAACGATTGATCCAGGAACAGACGATAATGAAGAAAAAAATTACCTGACAATTGGATTGTTGTACCAAGCAATACCGGAATCGTTGATTATGCAACTGAGAGATGTCGAATCAGCTAAAGTCCTCTGGAACTCGATCAATGCAAGGCACGTTGGCGTCGATCGGGTGAAAGAAGTCCGACTTCAAACCCTAAATTCCGAGTTCGACGGATTGATAATGTCAGAGAAAGAATCAATCGATTCCTTCCCCGGGAAATTGTCACGAATCGCCTCCCAATCGGCGTCACTGGGAGAAACCATCGAAGATGGTGAATGTAACACCCGTTTTTTTAGGCTAGGCATTAATATTGACATAATAGTCTAGGTTAACCTTTGTAACTCATTTTGAAGAAATGAAGAGGAATTATATGATTATTATGTGTTTTATGTTTAATTATTAGAATTTAATTAATTAAGAGTAAAAATGAGCGTCGAAAATAAATATTAGATAAAGCCGTTATCTATTAAGGAAGTTGTAGTGGTCGTGACAAGGATTACGGATATATAAAGAATACAGAAATCCGAGTTATAACGAAGAAGTTATGACCTGTCGAAGTTTCACGACAAAACAGACACGGTGCCGAATGTCGTAAAAAGTGAGTTTTTGATAAACTATTTTTTAGCCTTAGTGATCTAAACGAAAGTTGTAGTGTTCGTTAAACCGAGAGTATGTATAAAAAGAACGCCAAATCTGACTTCGTATGAGGAAGTTATGATTTTTCTAAGTTTCAGCTTAACAGTAGACAGCTAAAAACTCGAATTTTAGATCGAGTGATTTTTAGCCGACACAACCTCAACGAGAATTGAAGGTCTCGTCAATAGTAGTACAACGGTAAAAAGATAGACGAAAACGGACGTCGGATGAAGAAGTTATGAAATTTTAACGGATTTCCTGTCCTGGTCTGTTAAAAATAATAATATAAAAATTAAAGTCAAAATTAGCCGACGAAATCTAAACGAAAATTGTAGAGCGTAATTTTACCTACGCGTGCATATAAAGAACGTAAAAAACGGAGCTCGTATGCGAAAGTTGTGGATTTTAGAAGTTTTGGCGCGAAAATCGAGAAAAAAATGTCAAAACCGGGAAATTTCGCATTCGTGGACTTCGGCCACGTCACCCTCGCCCAAAACGTGCCACGTGTCCGAATTGCTGAGTCACCCGAGGCAACCTGGCGAGACGTGTCGCCTGCCCTCGCATCCGAACTCTGGTCCACTAAGAATGCGACGCGTGCCTATTGATGACCCATCCGAGCTTCGCAGGTGTGCCACGGAACCCCCCCTCCTCGGACTAGACCTCGGTCCAATCAGGAGCTGTCAGCGAGGCCCTCGCATGCGCAACCCATGTGCGAGCCATGGGACTACTCTTCGGATCTGCTGACGCGTGGCTTCTTCTTAACCCTTGGATCAGCAGGCTCGCACCTATAAATAGGAGGGTGTGAGACCTCTCGGGTATATTTTGGAAAATTGTCACTTTTAGCCATTTTTTCAATATTTCTTTCATTTCAACTTCCCTCAAAGCCCCGGTATCAATTATAACACCCGAAACACGCCCCGAAATGCGAGAAGCCCGAGAAATTTATCTTTTCAGTTTCGAAGCTCGACCCTCGCAGAGCCCGATTTCTGAATAAAACTCCCGGTTTTATTAGAAACGAACGTTTTAGGAAACGA